TACCAGTTTCATGTCTGTCCGTCCAAAGATATGTCATGATAAATCGATAGCACGAGCACTCAGGAAAGACCAGTTCCTGGAGAAGGATGTCATGCGGGGTTAAGTGGAGGGACAGCGAAGAGGAAGGCCCTCCACACGATGAACTGCCATGGTGGCCGCAACAATGGCTCAGACCTGTGGACAGTCGTGCGGATGGCGCAGGATCGGCAGTGCCCTGTTCTGTTGTACACAGGTTACTCTGAGCCCGAACCAACTGGATGGCCCCTAGCACCAACAGCATCACCTTGAAAGGCAGCCTTAAGTTGTGCAATGAGCTGACCTTTCCGAGAAATGACAGTGAACTGATTAAATAAGGTTGTAGTATTTTAAATGTGCAGTGTTCTAATACCTGCGTTAAGGACAGCATTTGTCTCCCCTTGTCCACCTCCATACCCTGTACCTGTGGGTCTCAAACCAGAATGTTCATCAGAAACACTCAGGGGGAGTTGTTAAAACAAACAGCTGTCCGCACCCCGGAGTCAGCATTGGTAGCTGTGGCATGGAGCATGATAATGAGCATTTCTAACAAACTCCTGTGGTACTACTGGTGCAGGAATACACTTTGAGAACTGCTCTATGCTAAATCCAGGGATTCCAAATAGTCTCTGCTATGGTGATTACTGTCAGAAACCCCGGAGTCGTTTTGATTCATGCAGAGTAAATACATATATAGCAATTGTATGTATGATACAGCTATTGTAGGACTGTCCGGATTTCAGTTGTTTTCTTTTCTCTTGTGGTCTTCTAGCATTTATATTTTCGTTAAAATGTTTCAAGTAAATTGATATGTCCAGGGTGGGGACCGGGGTGGCAGAAAACTGAAATCAGTCCATAGGTTTCAATTTGGGTAATATGGTCACTGTAAGTTAGATGCATTTGTTGCTCAAAAGAATACACATGCTTGTGCACACATGTGCAGGGGCTTCAAAAGGTTCTTGGAAAAATTCCATTATCTTTTAATTCCGTTTTTTACAAAAATTTTTGAAGCCCTCTCATATATACTTTCCACCCCCTTAGCAATTTTTGTTAGATTAACATTTAGTATTTACCTATTCTGACTGTACATTCAATATTCACATATGAACTATTATGCTATGTAATTGTATACTTATTATACATCTTTTACCTTGTAGGACAAGGTAGAATTTCCCCTGTGGGTTTCAGAGACGGTAACTCTTCAGGAGTAGAAAAGCTCCTCTTTGTCCCATGGAGCTAGTTGGTGGTTTCAAACTGCTGACCTGGGGTTAGCAGCCCAACATATAACCACTGTACTACCAGGGCCCCTATTATAAATGTAATTGCAAACTATCTGGTACCTTAAGAAAAGTTACTCGATACAGGTTTAAAAACAAGCAGTTTTTCTTTGTTCTTGTTAGAAATGGCATATATGTACACACACATACATTTCTTCTCAGTTGCTGTAGTGTCAGTTCTAACACCAAGATGACTCCATGTAAAAGTCCTTACAGTTTTCAAAGCTGTGACCTTTCAGAAGCAGATCACCTGGCATGATTGCCTTCCACGGCACCTCTGAGTGGCTTTGAACCGCCAACCTGCTGGTTAGTAGTCAAATGCTTAATGGTGTTCCGTCTGGAACTAGTTGGCACTAGTTGGTACTCTAGGCCTGCTGTGTAGCCATCATCCTTGATCTCTTGCCTGCCTCCTTCCCAGTTAATTCCCTAATTTATTTTGGTGACACAACGCTTTGTGTGAGTGGGCAGGTAGGGTTGACAGAGAATCGTATAGCAGGGTAATGTGAACTCACCATTTCAGTGTGAGATTCCCACACACCAGTGTTGATGGGTAACATTTTCTTTTTGGACCACTCAGTTTCTTCAGAGAACGGTCTTCCAATCTTCAGTTTGGGGAGCCTGGCAGCCAGTATTCTTGGATTGAAGTCAGAGAAAAAGTCTGATGTGTGTGTGTGTGTGTGTTGGTATATTTGTGCAAACTTTGCTTTTTAAAAGGTGGCTTATCTCTTAGAGCTGTGTCCATTGTTACCAAGTGCAGGGCATTTCTGGGTCAGTTTTCCAGAAGGGAAACCTCTAGCTTCTACTTGCATGAACCCGAGCAAACTCACTGCCATCAAAGCCAATTCCCACTCATAGTGACCCCTTCCCCACATTGGTTTCCAAGACTGTAACTGTTTATGGGAGTAGAAAGCCCAATCTTTTCCTGCGGAGCTGCTAGTGATTTTAGACTGCCAGCGAGGTGGCTTGTAGCCCAGTGCCTAACCACTGCACCACCAGGACTCCTCTGCTCTACTTGAATAGAGGAAGAAATCATCTTACATTACGTGTTTGGGTAGGGCTCTGGGGATTGAGCTATTCCTTGCGCAGACTGTAAACCAACCTTGCCCCTCAGTGGGGTTTGCTGGGCTGTGGTTGTCACGGGAGCACACCCCAGGTCTTTCTCCTGTGGAGTTGGTGGGTGGGTTTGAACCTGCACCATGTCAGTTAGTGGCTGAGTGCTTAACCGTTGTGTTGCCACACTCTACTTGATCTCCTGAAACGTGTGAGGGAAGGAAAGCCCGGGTTGTGTCCTGTTTTTGATGATAGGAGATTGAGGAGTCGGAAGGAAGTGGTGTAGACAGTTAACTTGCTCCACCATGAGTCAAAATGTTGGAGGTTTGAGTCTGCCCAGAGGCACCTCAAAAGAAAGCCCTGGTGCCTGCTTCTGAAAGATCAGCCGCTGAAAGTCTACGGGACACAATTCTAACCTGACACACTCAGGATTGCAATGAACCAGAAGCAACTAGATGGGAACTGGCTTAGCAGCCCTGGAGAAAATCTCAGTCCTGGGAAAACCAAACTCCTTGCTATTGAGTCGATTCCGACTCATAACGACCCCATAGGACAGAGCAGAACTGCCCAGTGTGGGTTTCCGAGGCTTTCAG